CACTTCCGGGTAATGGTTTTCGCTCGCCAAACTGCGGACAGTACGGTACTTGCGAAGGTGGGTTAAAAAGTGTTTTTGTTTTGTTCTTTGATAAATTAATGATTTGTTAACTTTAGATATCGATACCATATGTCAGTGGTAGCTCCAAAAGTCTATCGGTACATTTTAGCAAGGTGTAAAGATTTCACTTTGCTCGTTTTGCGACTTGGTACGTATTCTAATATTGATAATTCCACGTGTAGTTACAGCTATCGTGCCGAAATAGCCGTGCAGTCTATGCCACGCGATGTCGAACAAGAATAACCCAGTATAGCAAAATCCATATCACCAAGATGGGGTGATAGTTAACATCTTACCATGTAATTTTGACAATTCAATGTTGTAGTCTTGTATACAATTTACATGTGAAAAGATTTATTAATTATCATTCAAAGAAAAAATTAATGATAAAGAAAGTCACAAGCATATGTTGGAATGTTTAGTCACTTGAGTGTACATACGACTATGCAGCCACATTTTATCAAATTTATGAAAACAGAAAAAAATGAGAAATATATTGGGTCTGTAAATTTGATCATGTCAACAATTCCTGCATGGTTGTCAATGTAACTCAGTTTGAAACTTGTTTGTCCATTATTAGACTCATTTCAACAATTGTTTATTTGTCATCAGTCTGTTTTTACTAAATATATACATGGAAAATAAACCTAGGAGTCTGGGGAAATTTCTAGGAGCAGTAGGTTCCTGGTCTTCCTCTAAATCAACCCCTGCTGACCATATAAATACACAGAATTGATAGATGATAACATTGCATTTTAAATACAATGTAAAGCACAAGTACTATAGTAAAGAGAATTATTCTATAAACTTTGTACTCATGATAGATAAAGTGCTAGTATATGCCACAAATGTTTGATTTTGACATAGGGCTTCAACACAAATTTGATGAGCACACATTGTGGGGGTGGCAGATCACTCATATATATTACTGTTATTTGTGGATATTTTTGGGGCACACAATGTCTAGGGATGTAACTTTAATTACTGTTTATACCGCATTTGATTCTTAGAAGGATTTTACTCATTCCCGGATAAAAAATATAATAGCAAATACTGCGACTATAATATAACTCTAATCATTTAAAATTTCATAACATGTTAGAGTCTGTGCAGCCCATATGGTGCCAGTGTGTATTGTATTGCCTTCAGTTGTACAGCACGTTTTCATATTGTAATCCTTAATAGTGAGCAAACACATGGTGTTCCTGATTGCTCTCCATTGTCTTGCTTGTTGCATTCATGTGTTCATATATTTATCGAACCCACCTACTGAAAACAAATATTTCTCAATGAATGAATGTGATGTCTATA